TCACCGGAGTGAGCGCTCATCAAAATCACAAAACATGGAGAATGGGACACAGGAAAAAAGATGAGGTAAGACATATTTTATCAATACGCAATGTGAGAAGTTTCGTTTGCCGTGTGTGTGTGTGTGTGTGAGAGAGAGAGAGAGAGAGTGTGTGTGTGTGTGTGAGAGACGTTATGTTAGATGAATCGAGCAGCAATATTATGTTATTAGATGAATAACTAAAATATTGGAAGATAATACGTACTTTTTAGCATAATCGTTTTCCGTGTCCTATACTAGGATCTTGCCATCGGGTCTGCTCTGCCGCCACTCGTCCCACAACTCTGTCCATTTCGTTGCGGGTTCGTCGTTGGTTATTCGGGGGTGAAGGTGGTCGACACCCCATCACAGGGTCGGCAATATATGCTGCTGAGAGACTTCGAGGGAGCCTAGGAACACACAGCAAAGAGGCTTTTTTTACCCCTTCCCTCCATTTGGCTCGTCCAACGGGCGGTGTCACAGGGGCACTTTATTAAAGTCTCCACGGTTTCCTTCCACTTGCCACGCCCAAGGGGTGGTAGACCATTTTCCGAATGGCCCGATCCTAACATCAAGGCCTTCAGACCTTGTCTGCGTATAGGCATGGGTGCTGAGTCACTACCGTTTTTAGCCATCATCATCAGTTGTATCATTCACCACAAGTCTATTGCGAAGGAAGAGTTTCGAAATAGGCACGACTTATAAACCCCCCGAGTACTAATCCGTACTACAATGGAATGAATAACATACTAATCCGTACTACAATGGAATGAATAACATTACTCCCACCAAAACTTCCAGGAGCAATTTTCTACGCGTAGTTAATTACAAATACATTATGACTCTATCCGTTGTTCTATCCGTTGTTCTCAAAAACGATTATCAAGTGGAGAACCCCGACATACGACATAGCATTCTCCCTTTTGTGTAATAATGTTTAGTTTGTTCTCGATGAATATTCACGCGTTTAAGAAAAAGTAGTTACTAAATACAGACAACACTAGCTATCATAAACCTAAGATATGGAGCAGTCGGATAAAATATCATCAACTACCCAAGACGATTCATCCTCAGAAGATGACTCGTTAGATAAACCGTGGTTTGTCACGTTCGATGAATTTATAACGTTACGACCCTTGCAATACCGCAGAGTAGATTCATCAACCAGTGCGAAAAAAACAACAACCCATAAGTGCAGGAATTGTGGTTTCAAAACGTATAATGAAGTGGACACTGAATATCACCGAGATCAACACGCTCGCTATTTCAATGAAGAAGTTGAATTTGTTGTCATTCATCATACTACAAATGAGGTATCAAGAGACGATGATCAAGAAATACGAGACACACAAGACGAGAGGTAAGTACACCCATAACGAATGCAATAATATCACGTGGTATATTACTCACAACCCTATCAGGGATATCGCACGGGAATAATTAATACAAATGTATTTATGTAGATAATTATTATTATTATTATTTATTTTTATTATTTTTTGCAGCGCCGAACAACACGAAGGGCAACGAGAAAACACTGCATAAGTCGTAGTTGAACAACGAAGCATTGACCAATTCGAAGTATATCAATATTGCTTACAAGATGAATACTTGTCATTCATACAGGAATTCAAGACAGAGAGAAAAGGAAACGAATCATCCTTTAACAATATGGGTGGAAAAACAAAATCTGAACAAATTAAAGGAACAGCTATCAAAGTGGGGTAGATACAATACAGCATCGCATCGCTCGCGATGATCTGTAGATATACATGGAATCAAGTAGCGGTCGTAGATAATAATGAACGGTGAGGGTGTGTATTCATCTAATGTAAGTGATACTAATACAGGATGTGTAACCATATATTCAACAACAACGACAACATCCGATCAACTCGATGTCCGGCACAAAACGCTGACGTGCACCACGCCGACAACACCGTCTAGAGAGACGTCGAAGTCGCTGCCTACACATAACCCCGATGACGAGGGTAAAAATTACCCATCCTCCACTCAGCACGCCGACAAGGGGGTACCACATAACTTTCAAATCTGGAAACCGAGTAGAAAGGGAAAAGAAATTAGGCTCGTTTGATAATATATTATCTAATTACTTCTTCGTACAAAGTATTTTCTTCATCTCCCTCCAATTCATAGCAATCATTATTAGATATAAACCCGGTACCACCCCTGTCGACGAGATGTTGCAGTTTGATAGAAGAAGATAAAACACTTTGCATATGAATGTAATTAGACCTTCTCTGAAATCTACACATGACACCACACATACATATCAAGATCACACAAATCACACCCAAAATAACGAAAATTACCGTGTCGTTAACACCCGTTCTCGACGAAGCTCTATCATCGCCGATAGTAAACACAGCGCTCGACACGACGATGTGTGAAACCATCATAGTAGAAACAGGTACAGCAGCAGGAGTAGTAGTAGTAGTAGTAGTAGTAGTAGTAGTAGTAGTAGTAGTAGAGAGGTTTATAGCAACAGTACTCGCAGAAGTGATAGAAGGGGGTCGGTCGTGTTGATCTATTAACACCTGCAATGGAGAAAGAATCTGAATCCGTGCAATAATGAGTATCTGAAGTATCTCTCTCTCTCTCTCTCTCTCTCTCTCTCTCTCTCTCTCTCTCTCTCTCTCTCTCTCTCTCTCTCTCTCTCTCTCTCTCTCATCCAAACACACACACACACACACACACACACACACGACAGACAGAGAGAGAAATGCGATTTACTTACCGTTAACTAGAGCGCTATCGCTTATCGAGTACGATGTGGTGTTTCCAGAAGTTGGTGGGTCCGATCCAGCGTCGTCTAACAATAGAGAACAAGAACAAAAAGTTAAGAAAAGAAGTTAGAAATACAACAAAATAAGTAAAATACGATCGGTTTCAATACAAAACTAATAGGTTATCTAGTAACAATACCTGTGAATGGTGCAGTGGTGGTGGTGGTGAGGGTGCTAGTTGTCGTAGTTGTCGTAGTTGTATCGGTTTTGATGATTGTGGCGGTTCCAGACGTCGATGGTGAGCTAGCAAGAATCTGCGAAAAACACGAAATAAATAAATAAATAATAAAATGAATAAATAAATAATAAAATGAATAAATAATCTCCAAACTCTCTCTGCTGCATACTACTTTTAATCTGTAAAACATTATATATTATAATTATGTTTGCATAACTCACCTCGGAACACGGTTCACCGTTAATCTGTATCGTGACCAAGGAGGGTCTCGAAATCTCCCCACAGGACACGGCGCTGTTTTTAAGATCCACGAATCGCAGGTTAGGATAGCTGTATCCACCAACAGAAAACCCCCGGTCCCACCTCTCGCCTGTAATCCTTAGGACCCGGGGGTACGGTCCTCCCGTTGAAATGGTCTCGGGTGCCAGCGTAGCACCACAGTTCCCCTCCATCCATCAAAGCGCATCTTGGGGGTAACACCAGGACACCGCTGGTAGTCCACCATAGAGTCACCAAACTCATCCAAAACATGATAAGAAATCCCATTATGAAACGTCTATCTTCTCGTCGCGTGGTCTCTAATCGACTGACCCCAGTTAGTTAAAGACAATAGGTAACGTAACCCGATACCCAAAGTCCGGCATGACCATGGGGGGAGGGGAGTGTGGGGTGAAGGGAGAACAGGTGACCCGATACCGAAGTCCACTCAGATACATGGCTTGTGGAATTACATAATTTCCACATACTTGGGCCGAGCAGTTCGCGGGAGAGCGATATCTTCGATCACATATAATTACACTGATGAAATCATTGCAACGAAGATATGTAGTATTTTATAAACACTTGTCTGGGCTAATTGTACGAATTTTGAAAATACGTCGTTAACGAATATTTCGCTGAGCGTGTGTATAGTCAGCTGCTGAGACTCCCTCCCCCTCTTTTGATTGTCATCCCTCGGACGCACATCAATCAACAAATTAGCGATCATCGCGCGCATGGAGAGAGGAGACGGTCAGTCAAAGATACCACTGTTAATTACTCGCAAATTGCTCGTTACTGTGATGTAGCATCTAATAACACTCACCCACCTTGCTCGGGCTAGGGTAAACCATGGAAGTATAGTTATCACATACACACCCGTAGATTCGTGTTTTTTGACGATACATCTAGAGGCGTTGAATTGACCACGTGCATTAATTAACTCAAACCCTAGAGAGGACCTGTATTTTTTGACGATACACATTGTTAAACCTCAGTTGTTTATGGGGAAGAGATACCGAGTCGTGTAATGAGAAAGGATATTGGTCTTTCCCGAATATATCTACATCGTGCACGAGTAAGTGTATTTGTTATGTTCCTTTCTGAAGACACGTGCAAACACCTACGTCCCATAAGCTCCTCCTTATTGACCCGAAACCATCCACCCTAGTAACAATTATGTTTTCCTGCACCGCGCATCCCCGTCGCTAATTGTTATTCTCTCCCTCGCGTCCTACCGCTAATTGTTATTCTTTTCATGTGTTTGTATTATGTGTAACGATATCAAAGCTACCGCCAACCACCCCAACACGCCGCCGACGACATGGACATCTTGAAGAAGAAGAAGACTATCAACACTAGCAGCAATGCCGACGTCGCCGAAGCCGAGAAGAGTGATGTGAAACGTAAGGCACCCAAAGTAGCTGAATCGAGTTTTTCTTCGAAGAAAACGAAAAAGCGGCCAGAAGTGAACTGGAAGAACGAACCCGAATGCTCCTCACAAAATACTGATATCGTGATCTGTGACGACGATGATGATGATGATGACGATGTCTACGTGCTGAGTAATCTTACTCAAAAACAGAGAACAGACCTCGACGATGACACTACCAGCGAAACCGAAAGCGATGTTATCCTGTTAAGCGATGACAGTGACGATGGCTACGACGAGTTCGGCAACCCAAACGTGCCCTATGTCACTTTAAAGGACACTATCTCCAGAAAGATTTCAATCAAGATCGATGGAGGTATCATCTACATCCAAAAAATATACATTTGCATCATCGAGAAACCTGCGCTTCCCGGAAAAAGTCGCGAGAAAGGTAGGTACAACTTAAGATGTAACAATTATATATATATATATATGCTACATTAACTTTTCTCTACATTTAATGCCCGCGTGTATGTGTGTGTGTGTGTGCGCACGCGTGTGCATGCGTAGGGGAAAAACTTAAGATGTATTAATTATATTGTAGCTTTATTTAACGGTTTATGAAATGTCACTATTTTCCTATGTTTCGCACGAATGTGTGTGTGTGTGTGTGTGTGTGCGTGCGCGCGTGGGGGAGAGCGTGCTTGGCGTATATATCAGTTTATTGCATGAAGGCCAGAGGCCCATATACAGAATAAATATGTATGATATGTACAACATGCGACACACACACGTTACATTGAATCTCTTCTCAATATAAGCGCGTGATAAATAGATAGAGCTTCCTTATATTGTAATGGTGATGCTTTACATGAAAGTATTGAATACAGTTTTGTAGCATTAATGTTTGATTCTAGCTATTGTGGAAAATACAGTTGCCTTAAATCATTATATGCAGGACAAAGAAATAGAAAGTGTAATTCATTCTCTACAGTATTACAAAATGGACAGAACCTTTGTGATTTTATAATAAATGAATATCTTCCTTGATTGATATATAAATCATTTTGGCTAAGTCTCAGGCGCATGAAAACATTACGAAGCTTTTTACTACGTAAGTTGTATAGATACGACTCAGGTTCAAGTAAAGATTTAAACTCACGATAACATTCATATCTTGAACTTTCATATAAAGATGAATGCCAGTCTTGTTTAAAGATATCAATAGCCCTGGTACGAAAGAGTTTGATAAATGCATTAATGTCGCCCAGGGTTTGGGATAGCCAAACAAATCCAAAGCCGTATCTAAACAAAAGAATACGAATACGGGTTGCCCAAGTATTTTTACCAATATTATCAAGATTGACAATCATATTGTAGGTTTAAAGAGACAATAGTTTTGTGGTTACAGTCACAAACGCTCGTTCGCAGCAGCGTCATCGAGAAACCCGGGCTTCCCGGAAAAAAATCGCGAGAAAGGAAAGGACAACTTAAGATGTAACAATTATATATTAACTTTTCTCTCCATTTAATGTGTGCGTGCGTGTGTGTGTGGGCATGCGTAGGGGGAAAACTTAAGATGTATTATATATATATATATATATATATGCTTTATTTAACGGTATATTAAACACAAACGCTCGCTCGCAGCAATTTTTCATTTTTATCAGAGCAATAACTTAGGCACGTGTTAAAGGAACATTGGATGATTGCAAATTAATATTATTATTTATATATTTTTTATTATTTTTTTAAATTATTATGTTTAATTAATTACAGGTGTTTGAGAAGATCGGGGACATCAAACACACGTACAGCGTGGTAGTGAAGCGACACAAATCAGATCGCGACGTGAGAGAGGCGGCTCAACTGCTCGTGTCCAGGAAACCGTTCTACCGTTGTACTTTCACCAAGATAGATAACTACTGGTACGCGAATGTTCGACGCTTTAAGGGACAAGAGGGTACACTCTACCAAAAAGATAACGGCATATACTTCCCCGTCGAGGATCTCCTGAAAGTGAACAAATATTTGAAAAGAAAACTAAACATCAAACAGAGAGAGTAGGATGTACGCTAGCAACAATACGAACAGAAAAGATAAACATTGGCGATGTAGACTTTGTAATCAGCGGGTGAAGGGACAAGCATTTAACCAATATGTCGTAGATTGTGCCTGTACGCAAAGACGTTGTTTCGAGTGTAGACTGTGTCAGACTCCATTTGACACGCGCAATCATCTTATTCGTCATATTGATGCGTGTAGTAACCGGCAAACTAAAGATAGAGAGGACGATAATCAACGTACTCCCAGCAACGTTTATTTGTGCGAGTCGTGTGGACTCGTTTGTGACAATGGCGCCGCTCACGACTGTTCACACGCACGTGAAATGTTATCGGCGGGGAAACGATCCGGTATTACGTACACGTGTCCCAAGTGCGATAAACTCTTCCGGACTCGCACCAAATTCAACGCACATATCAAGAAATGTTGTAGAAGGAGTTTGTATTTGTGCGAATCCTGTGGCAAGATATTCCAAAGACAACGATCGTTTCACCACCACTCGTCGTAATGTCGCAACAACAATGATCTATCAACGATGTCGTCTTCCGGAGCAACGACTAAGAAGGTAACGTGCCGTCAATGTCACCAACGATTTGAAAGCCATAAATTATTGTGGCGTCCTCAACATCGAAGCCATTACGGCGCTAACGGCGAACTCTTACAACCCGAGCCATGGCCAGAAGGAGATGCGAGAAGACCGTGGACGGACCAAGTCGACGGAGGTTCGGTGGTGAACGAAACTCTTAAAGACGTATACATCACTCACAGAGATATCATACTGCGTCCGCATAAATATGGCGGAGATAATATTGTGCGCACGTTCAATTTCCCATTGACCGAACTCGTCAACACAGACGCAATCGAATTCCGGAATCAGCTGGATTACATTTTTCAGCACGAACAAAATTCGTTTAAAGTGAACTTATCATTTGGGATGATTTTACGTCACATTGAAACGGGTGTATACAGATACTTTATTCCTTACGAGAACACTTTCGTTTTTGACAGACCTGGTTTAATTCATAACCGCGATTCGCTGAACCGCGTAGTGAAAAGAATTCACAGGAAAAACCTAGACGAGCTCATGTTCCAACAGCGTCCGAACACGAAGTGGAATCCCGTATTCATCACCAATGTCGCATACAGGGTGTACCGTACTAATTACGTTCTCGGCAAGAAAACCCTCTCTCTACCTACGTGGTTAAAGAACAAGAAGTGCGTTGTGATAGCGAGGGATCGTGAAGTGGATTCACTATGCGCTTTCAGATGTCTAGCATATCATCAACTGTATCGTGAAGCGGGAGGGTGTAGATTAAAACAAACACCCAAGAAAAGTAAGGTTTTAAAGCTATTTCGAACATTTACGCATGCTAAGGGAAGAAAGGAAATCAGCCCACTATCGTTTAAAGGATTGAACTTCCCGGATGATGTTCCTTTGTTCGAGAGGACTTTTAACGTTTGTGTCAATATATTCAAAATGCACGGTCATTCTTGCGTACCCGTCTATCTGTCGAATAAACAAGGCAATGACAATGACAAATCCACTCTGAATATGGATTGTTACGAAAGCCACTTGACCTACATCGTCGATCTCGAGGTCTATGCTAAGCGATTCAAGTACCGACATTGCGATATGTGCTTCAGCAGGAGGAGTCTCGCGAGGAATCACGAAAAGAGCGCTTGTTGTCAGAAAAGCGTGCTTAGATTCCCCCGGTGGTTACTTTTCGCCGCCGCAGACAATATTTGAGAGCGCTCATGAGAGCCAAAAAACTTCGTCTACGTTGTGGACGACACGTCACCATCCCGTTTCTATTTCCGTGTGCTCCAACTTTCCCGGTTACAAAGAACCCAAGTGTATTGTCACGGAAGAAACGGAGAGTTTACTCGCTCAGGTCGTGGACTATGTCACGGAGATAGCCATGGAGGCGAAAAGATTAACCGAATTGAAATTACAACCGGCCTTGGTCGAATTGCGGAAGCAAATTGATCATTTACGGGGTAGGAAAAACAACAATGAATGGGAAGATATCAATGAAGCGGATGTTCAAGCACGCGCCACCTCGCCCCCTGTGGTGTGGACACCGGGTGATGAATGGACGCTCGAGGGACTGGTTTCTTTGTTACGAAAAGTGACCGACTATTGTAATCAACTCTTTTGGGATTCAATAGTTCCAAATACGATTTGAATTTATGGAAGAGCAAATTAGCCAGGGCATTGAACATGATCGATGACGATAATAACTTCATCATCAAGAGAAACAATCAGTACACTAGCATCGTTTCCCAAAGACTGAAATTTTAGATATCTCGAATTTTATGCCTCCCGGAGTAAGCTATGACCAGTTTCTATCTACGTTCAACGTTTCTCAGTCTAAGGCTTTCTTTTGTTACGAGTACCTCGATAGTTTCAAGGAGCTAGAGGAAACGAAGCTCCCTTCGATAGAGGCGTTTTGGTCTAACCTAAAGGGTATTAATACCCTGGAGGATGTGAATTGGCAAAAATATGTCGCCTGCCTGCGCACCGAGACCGCGAAGAATAAGTCAACCCAAGAGATACTATCACATTTGAAATTAAAAACCGTCCCCAGAAGCGCGGAGGAGAACTATGCTTACATACAAAAAATATGGAACGACAATAACATGCAAACGCTGAGGGACTTTTTGATTTGGTATAATAATCTAGACGTGTCACCCGGCGTGGAGGCTGTTGACAGACTAAAACGCTTCTATTGGCGTGAGACATGCATAGACATTTTCAAAGATGCCGTGTCAACACCGGGTATCGCGAGATGATTACTGTTCCGGACAGTTCTTAAAGAATGCGCTCACTTTACCCTATTCAGACCGGGGGATAGTGATCTGTGGGAGACGGTGAGACGCGGTATAGTGGGAGGGCCTTCTATTATCTTTTGTCGTTATCACAGCGCTGGTGAGACATTTTTGCGCGGGGATAAGGATAGAGTCTGTCAAAAGTGCATCGGTCTAGATTGCAACGCCTTGTATCTCTACTGTTTGGGACTGGAGATGCCTACTGGTTATTTCGTGCGCTGGTTGCCGGACACGCGGTGTAAAAACAGGTTTTATCGCAAGAAATCTGAAAAGTATACCATGAGCTACGATTGGTTAGATTGGGAAAGTCACCGGAAAGGAATATCGTTGATGCATCGATTGAATTCAGGGCGCGCAAAAAAAAATAGGACCTTTTCTGGTGGGTGGGTACGATCCCGTATCTCGAACCTGTTACGAATTTATGAGGTGTTATTTCACGGTCATTCGTGCGTCGAGCAGAACGAGAAAGCAAAACTCCGATTTAACAGAACCGTAGAGAGAACGCGCTACTTTAGGGGTTTGGGATACGAGATCATTTGCCTGTGGGAATGCGATTTCCGTAAGATGTGCGAAACGGATGTTGAACTGCAAGATTTTCTTAAGACGAGACAGTATCCTTTCACGAGTGCTCACGCGAATACCGCCATTAGCCAGGAGACCCTACTCGATGCCGTGATCACCGGATCCTTGTTCGGATTGGTAGAGGTCGATATTCACGTTCCGGACGAACTGTACAAACATTTTTTCTGAAATGGCACCAATATTTGCTACGTGTAAAGTTCCCTTCGCAGGGATATGCGCGACTTTGTCAGAGAAAAGAAACTTAGTCAACGCGATCGCACTTTGTTGGTGGGAGGAATGAAAGCAAGCAGAATACTACTAGCCACGCCGTTACTTACTTGCTATTTACAGCAGGGTCTCGTGGTAACCAAAATTTACCAGGCGGTCGAATACAAGGGAATGAAATGCTTCAAACCCTTCGTGGAAAAGGTGACAGTGAGTCCCCGTCTAGGCGACTCTGACAAAGATTTCGCTATCATGGGCGAGGTGTGGAAACTGATAGGCAACAGCGCGTACGGTAGTCTTTTGATGGACAAAACGCATCATACCACGTGTAAGTTCGTTCACGGAGAGAACTCGGTCTTGGCTCAGGTCAATAAAAGACATTTCTTGTCCTTGTGCGCTTTAGACGACCATGACTTCGAGGTCATATCGCTTAAAAGGTCTATTTCGGTCGATATGCCGTCTGTCCTCGGCTACTTCGTGTTACAGTACGCCAAGCTACGCATGTTACAGTTCCATTATGAATTCCTACTGAAATTCCTAGACAAGAGTGCGTTCGAGCTGTTGCAATGCGATACTGAGAGCTGTTACTTCGCATTATCGCAAAAGACCCTTTGGCTGGCGATCAAACCCGAAAAACTAACCGAGTATGACGGGATGCTATACGGGTTTTGCGACAAAGATGACATCGAGGCGGACGATAAAATGCATTTTCTACCTCGTGAATGTTGCGCCAAACACGCAATGCGAGACAAGCTCACGCCAGGGCTTTTCAAAGTTGAGAGTGAAGGTGATGAGATGGTATCGCTGAATTCTAAAACGTATGCCCTTCGTCAGAGCGATAATAGTGTGAAATTGAGCTGCAAGGGGTTGAACAAGAGAAAGGTTCACGACCCAATGAATCTCTATCGGTCTGTCTTGCGTGATGGAATGTCGAGATCGATTGTCAATACCAGTATATAAATAATACCATGTATACGTATCAGCAAAGGCGCTCAGGACTGTCTTATTTCTATGCGAAACGAGCAGTGATGTCTGACGGAGTGACGACTCGACCATTACGTTTGACTTTGAAACCCGTGTCCAGATAATGTTGATCTGTAATCTCACGTGTTGGTCTGGGCAGAAATGTGAATTCGTATATACATATATCCTTGGTATTGGTGTTTATCCATATATCTATATAAATAAAATACAACTATTATGTACTTCTGTGTTCATGAGTTTTTTTATTCGTCGTTACATACAACTACACGGACCCGATGTGGTCTATACATTATAACATAGTCCCAAAACACCAGTTAATCAGTAATTACGTATATTCAAGAGAACTATATAATATATACATATAATATATACATATATCGGATACATAGCGCGAAACAGAATACATACATATACGACGCGTATACACAAACAGAGA